CTTTCTAGTTGCTGCATCTCTCTCAAAATAGTTTTTATCACTACCTTGAAATTACTGTAATTATTAGACTCCCTGCTAGCTCTTACCTAATACTTAACAGAGAAATACATATTAGTATATCACAAATATTTTTAACATGTTAATAACTATTTCAACTTAATTCATTTCCTTTATAATCCTATGAACTTTATTTTAGGTATTTTTAAACTATTTTGAAAAAGAGCCCATACGCTCCACCAGGCTGCCAGAGGGTACATGACATGAAAAAGTTAAGAACTCCTTTCCAAAAGTAGAGTTCCAAAAAAGATTAGAGCAATGGCAGGTTCACTGAAATAAATGTACAGCCTTTCATCATTACTACTCCAGAGATATTCATGGGGATATAAAATGTTTGGTTATTATTTCATTTTCTAATCTGTGATCTTGGTCATTTACTTACACTCAGCCTCTAGCTATGGGGATTAAAATAAATATAGTATCTTACTCATAGGGTTATTGTGAAGATTGATTCATTCGAGGATACTTAGATCAGTGCCTAGTACACGAAGAGTATTCAGTAATTATTATCTATTATTCATATCCCATCTTTTATGTGAAAACAAATTGCATTTTAGAAACTCCCCCATATTTCTTTTTTTTTTTTTTCGCGGTACGCGGGCTTCTCGCTGTTGTGGCCTCTCCCGTTGCGGAGCACAGGCTCCGGACGCGCAGGCTCAGCGGCCATGGCTCACGGGCCCAGCCGTTCCGCGGCATGTGGGATCTTCCCGAACTGGGGCACGAACCCATGTCCCCTGCATCGGCAGGCAGACTCTCAACCACTGTGCCACCAGGGAAGCCCTCTTGTTACATTCTTTTGGAAAGCCCTTTCCCCAGCCAAATGGCTCCCATCCAATAAAAACTATGGAGGTTTGCCAGACTGAGGAGAACAAAAATGTGGGTCATGATGGCTTTTCTAAGACGGACAGTGTTTTGGATGGCAGTGATCACATAGGCCAGACAGTAAGTACAGGGAGTACTGCTCTGAAATCAGACAAATCTAGGTTTCGTTCTGACTCTGACATCTGTACCTTGTGATTTTTGGCAAGTTACTTTATTTTTTAGAGGTTTAGTTTCCTTATCTGTAAAATAGAAATAAAAATAACTTCTTCCCTGAGTTGTCTTAAGAATTAACTGAGATGATTAAGACATAGGTTCCGGGCTTCCCTGGTGGCGCAGTGGTTGAGAGTCCGCCTGCCGATGCAGGGGACACGGGTTCATGCCCCGGTCTGGGAAGATCCCACGTGCCGCGGAGCGGCTGCGCCCGTGAGCCATGGCCACTGAGCCTGCGCTTCAGGAGCCTGTGCTCCACAACGGGAAAGGCCGCAACAGAGATTGGCAAAAAAAAAAAAAAAAAAAAAAAAAAAAAGACATAGGTTCCTCAACACAGGCACCTAGAATGAACTCTGCAAATATTAGCAGGCTTCCATTTCTGCTTCCCCCTCTCCTCTTCTCTTACCAACCCTCTGAATCTGCGGACTTCCATCCTAGGATTTAGCCAAGGACCATAATAAATTGCAATTGGAAAAAAAAAAGAAACCAAAAACTCTCCTAATGGACAGTTTTCCTCTACTTCACAGAGGCAATTACCCAACCTGGCCATATAAAAAAGGATCCACATGCAGTGCCTGCCCCAGTAACGACAACTGTCTGGACAATCTCTGCGGTGAGTAAAAGGAGCAATCTACCAATAATACAATGTGTTCAAAACTCTTGTAACTTTCTACAGAGCTAAGAATGCAACCATTTGTTTTATCCTAACAGCTATTTTCAGGGAAAGTGGCATCAGGGTAGCAATCAAACCAGTGGTGGCTTACTGTCCTGGGAATGAACATATGGTTCAAGAGAAATTTAAAGAAGCAAATAATATTCTTCAGTTAGCGCTAATCAGAAAAACAACAAACGACTCTGATTCTGGGAAACCGTAGACCCAAGATCTGCTAATTTCAGCAAGATCAAAAATTTGTATAACAAAGTTAACCAAAAGAATTCTGAATTGTGTGATACTACCTGTCCAAGCACTCAAGACTTGCATTTTCATCTTTAGAATCAGATAAATGAAATAAAGCTGCAATGTGGCACTTTTTACTAGTTAGACAGCATTTAATGAGGAACAGTGTAGGCCAATGAAGCTACGTTTCCAAGGATGTTTTACATAACTTTGAAATATTAATACACAATTGGCCAAGAGTTTCTTTATGGTTCCTGTCCCAGACACATTCCTTTCCATCTCAGTATGTTTTTTCTTTACTTTTTGCCATGGTGTGAAGGAAAACCTCAATCAAGCTACTGCAGTTGTGCAAATCCTCTAGGACTTTTGTGTCCAGATCTGTAACCAACTGAACCCCTCAGGGCTGCAGGGTTGGGGCGGGGTGCTAGGAGCAGAAGGAGGGTAGAGTAGACTGAGTTTAACTGCATAAATTTTTGTTTGGCCAAAGTGTTGCACTGCTTACACGTTTCCTAAGGTCCTTTCTGGGTTCAAAATTATAAAATTCTTTTCAACTGCTTTTCCCTTCCTCCTGATTTGTAAACACTGAGTTCTCATTTTTACTCCAAGCTACAGAGACGCTTTTTCTACCAGCTTTCTGAGCCAGTCATTTCTCTCCAGTTCAACCGTTCTTTCCCTCATAATTAGTTTTGTTTAGAGAACTCTAACATGTAGCCATAGTGCAACAAATCCCTTCTCAGAGCACCAATATGTTAACTGAATTTTTCATGTTACTCCAACACTATGAAAGCATGTCTTTTTTTTCCAAGTTAGGCAGTATGACATAAGAGTTAAAACCACAGATTTTAGAGTTCAATTTCCAGTTCCACCATTGTGACGCTGGGCAAGTGTCTGGACCTGTTTCCTCATTAATGAAATGTAGACGGTGGCACCTCTTCAGAGGTTTCGTGAAACGAATGAAAAAAAATTATATCTAGAACAAGTGCCTGGCATACAGTATCACTCAGTAAATATTATCTATTATCCCCAAATTCATCCTTCCTATAATCTCAGATCTTGAGTTTACTCTTGGTATTTTGGTGTCTTCTTTGTGCCCAAAGTTTTAGATGATATGTTTTTATGCTCATGAACAAGACTCACCCATGCTTCTTTAGAACCTGTGATGAAAACTGAGACAATAATTTTAAATTATGTAAAAAGTAATTTAACTGTTGGCACTGGTTAGCTGTCTTTCCCACTAGACTCTGAATTCCAAACAGGCAGGAATTATGCCTATCTAATTCAACTCTGTAACCAAAGTGCCTAGTCTGGAAGGCAAATAATTGCTAATTTGCATATTTCCTAAAAAAATCATTCATTCTCTATAAAAATCTAGACAGTAACACCACCACCAGCACAATGATAACAAGAAGAAAACTGCTGGAGTTTTAGCTTTTGATCTTAGCCTGAAATGGTCTCTAACCTTGTGGGATAAAATTCAGAAAATTAAGGCTGTAGTCCAATAATGAAAAGCCCCTGGGCTCTTAAGACAGACAAGGGAAAACGCACGCTAATTTGCAGCAGGGTAAGGGTTGGAGGATAAAAGCTTTTATTTATCAGATTTCGTCTCTGACAAATTGTGGCAAACACTGGAGGAAAAACATCCCTTTGTGGTCTTCTAGACACTGGTAGGTTCAATAAATACCAATAGAGGCCAAATCAGGATGGTTTTGCAAAATGTGCTGGGCACACCAATGGTACACAAGCTGATTTTAGCTAGTGCATGGATGGCATTTGTTTCAATATTCAAAAGTTGAATGTTTAACATTTTAAAAATGTATGTGTAAGAAAAAATATAACTAGCAAGCATATTATACCTTGATTTCATGGATATAACTGCCAAGAAAAGTTAAAGAAGCAGAAGCTTCGTCGCAATTCACCACAGCAAAGCCCAGTCAGTCACAGGTATGATAACCAGGGATGCTCACGAGTACCAGAGGGTCAGCTCCTTGATGGATTCCACCATAGGAATGCAACAGCAGCTGGCATAGAACCAGTGTAAAAGAGGTGTCTGACCATTTAAAAAGTATAAGAAGGCTATGGCAGATGTGGAATTCTCTTCCCAGTGCTCTGAATGTCAAAATCTTAATAAAGCTCAGTGGAAGGAGAGGAGTCAATATGACTTTGATATCCAAATGCCCTACTGATATACTAATGACAGACTGGAATGTATGAGAGAGGCCACTGTCTCTTCATTACTGACTGATCATAGTATCATTCTTCTCAGGAGAAACTTACTTTCAGGAAAATATTTTAATAAATGGCTCACACTGATTATTACTAACACTTATTTTTCTGTTTTATTTTAATTGCATTTATTTTATCTGCCAGTTACATTATGTAAAATGATTTTCCATTTATAGTAGTGGTATATAAAAAGTTTATATATAAAGGTTATATAAACAAGTTGATTGCAACAGTGATTGCAACAGTCAATGGTTATAATTAAGAGACTTGGCTTTTAAAAAGGAAACAAAACAAAAGCCTCACCAGTATCTATTTTTAATTCTTTTCTTTCTTCTGATTTTATAGCTAACCCACAACGAGACAAAGTGACACGTATGTATATAAACCTTAAGTTGTATTAATATCTATCTGAGCTATGTTACTACATTATGAGGAATAACATTTAAGAGGATATTTTATGTTTGTTTCACAGGTTACTACTCTGTTGTGTTTCCAGACTGGCCAATATTTCCACGTAACAGATACACATCTCTTTTCCTCATTGTTACTCCACCAATCCTAATACTGAGTGTTATAATTATCAGTTTGGTCAGGCACAAATACCCTCATTTAGTTCTTCTGAACTAATACAATCCAGGGGGGAAAAAGCCTCATTCATACACGGCTTTAAAAAATAAATTAAAATTGGGTGTATTTCTAATTTGCAGCAAACCCTTACTCAAAAGAAGAAATGGTTCAGTTTCCTAACATTAGAAGATAAACTCATCTTTGCTTTCCACTTTTTATGAAGAAGCATTGTTTTCAGGCTGCCACAGCTGTGACTTTCAGTGAGTAACCTACCCCCTGTATGCCTTAGCTTCTAAATATGCAAAATCAGTGAGCTAGATTTAGGCGAGTCCTGGCCCTCTTCAGTAAAAGCGTTTGTTTCTATGTAACCTGTTGCTTCAACTCCAAATATCTGGTTTGCCCTGTTCTCTTGCAAATTTGATGTCCTTCTGGTTTACTGCTTCCTCAGACTCATATTGGAACAGTAATTAAGGGAATTAAAGGGCCTTGCACTTTTGGATTATGGATTAATCTTGGAACAAAATGTAAAATAAGATTACAAAAAGGGATAAACCTAAATGTTTACTTGCTGCCATTAGAGCACTGAAAAATCTATTTTCCTCAAAACCAAATGCTGGGACATGATTATATTTAAAGACTAACCAATGGCCTCAGACATTGGATTTGATGGATAATTACAGTAGCCACATTGCAAAAATCTTTACATAAAACGTGCCTGGAGTAGATTAGGTGCAATGCATATAAACACATATATACCACCTTCTAGTATAAAAATTTTCAAAAAACATGGCGAATACAATAATTTATAAAGAATTGCTGTTTATATGAAGAACAAAACAAACTCAGAAAAAAGTGATCAGGGTATTACTTCTCACGGATAAGGCAACTAATGCCCTAGTATCTCAAAATCCTTTACAAAAGGAGATAGCTTAATTCTAGTTCAGGGTTTTTTGTTTTTGTTTTATGTATGTTACTTTTTTTTCTTCTTTTTCTTTTCATCTGCTTCCATTTTAAGCTTAACTTCTTCAGCTGTAAGAGCTCCCAGTTTCTTACTCTTTGCTTTCTTAACCTTTTCCTTGATGGCGGCCACATCAATTTTAGTTTCAGGAGAAGCTAAATAAAAACGATACATGTAATTCTTTAGATTATACCAAATAAAACAAAGAATACATATATAAGACAATAATTTCAGAGTACTGTTCTGTTACAATTGAAAGATCATGTTATAAGATATAAAACACTTGCTTAAAGTCAGAAATTTCTTCTAACTAGGAGAAAACAAAGTACTTTAAAAATACATTAGTGAAAATATACACGAAAATGGCATTATACGTTAACTAACTATTTGAACCAATTACTGGATTCAACTATTAAAATTACATTTTTTCCCTTAAATTGTTTAAGATTATTTTTATTTTCCATATTTTGGCACTTTAGAGTATTCCTTAAAAAACTTAGTTTTCTGAATATTCAATTAATGACTAGTAGTATTTCATTTAACAAGATTTTGGTAATAAAGACAATAATCTGAGAGTATCTGGAGGTCCTCCTAACAGAACCCAACCCCATGTATTTAACACAAAAAGTGTGAACAAAACAGAAAAGCAGTGAAAAAAAATACAACTTTTTCTTATTATTTAAAGAACAGCACTCAGGACATAAAGAACCACAAGATAAAATGCCATCAAACAACCCAGCAACTTGAGAGCAGACTTTTAAAGCCTCCACTAGAGTGGAATAGCTACACTTTAATCAGTAATAAACTGAGATTAAACTGGCTATTGACTACCTTCAGAGTACATAACTAACAGATTGCACAAACAAGAAAGTATAATGCTTATGATATTTTTAACTTTTATATAACCAAGGATCTAAATAGTAGAACACAATACTGTTACATCTGGCTTTGATCAACACGTCATGTGCAGTGCTGCTGGGTGACCTCCCTCCCCTCACTGTGCCACTGACCACTCTGAAGAGTTACCTTACAGAGGAGTACACGTTACTAGTGGAAAAGAAAATGCGAAAGAGGAGAAGACGGATCAAAATGAGGCTAGGAATGAGAAGAAGAGTGTCTTTAAAAGCCCCTGAGTAAGAAAGATCGTCCTGCTATTTTGTTGGTGTCTTTTAGCCCAAGTGATGAGAAATCCACGTTAATCGTACAGGAATCAAATTTTAAGCCACAGATCACACAAGTAAAGAAAGTACAACTTTTGATAAGCTCTTTTTAAAGGGCATGATAGCAGAGCTCAGGGATCTTACTGTTTTATCTTTCACAACAGAGTCCTTCCTCAGCACAGAGGTCAGGAAGGGACTATCAATCTGGGATACTCTTAAATAGGAATTAGCTGCTACCAAATTATAAATTATCTCAGTCACCACCGCTTTTCCCTAGGATTTGTGATTAATGAAATGCTAAGAGAATTGATGAAATACATGGTGATTTCTTAACACTCAAAGAGCTTCAGACAAACCCACTCTGGGTTTACTTTTCCTCTAACAGACTTTTACAGCATACCAAGAGTTGGAAAACAAGCATTACCTTCCTTAGGTTTCACAACTGGTTTTTCTTTAGGTGGAATAAACGCTTTGTTTCTTTCCTCTTGTCTCCTACTAAGAGCTTCTGCTTGTTTAGCCTACATCATTAATAAAAAAAAACTACATTAAAAAACGCTTTTGTAGTTAAATAAGAATTCAAGTATCTATAAACTTTGCAATTAGTGTTGTAAGCTAGACATGGTCTTACCTTTATTGCTTCCATTTTCTGTCTCTTCTTTTGACTTGCTTTCAGAAAGTATTCACCAGTAGCCAATTCTTTATCAATCTGTTGAAATCAGTATTTACAATACATCATAAATAATGTAGATGAGAAGTCAATTCCTAAGAAATTCACAATGACCTTGAGGTAAAGACAGACAGTGGGGTCAAAACTATGATTACTCTATAAAGGTAGCAACATAAAAAGAAGGAAATGTCCTCTAAGCTGAGGGGAATAGATATGCCCAAAAGCATGTAGGTAGGAAAGTAGGTGATGTGTTCATGGAGTACCCAACAGACTGCTTGAGGTGGGGGTGGAAGGTCAATGGTTCAGAAAAGTGTGAGAGGAAACTGGAAAGAAGTTTTGAGGAAGCATGAAGAAACATGAATGACAGGTAAGGGAAGTGGGATATGATTTAGAAATGACTGAAGGTTCCTGAGAAGAGTGAAGAGAGCAAAGTAGCACTTTACAAAAGGTACAGAAGAAAGGAGAAGAGATAAAAGCCTGTTTTAAAAAAAAGGTTGCAGCATACAAAATGGAAAGAATTGTCAGGATGTGGAGACTAAGTACTAATGTGCAATAGCAAATTCATTAAGTAGAGAGTCAACATATAATTAATCGGTCTACCTAAGGCAATGTTCTACTCTAATACTAAGCTCTCTACAATTACTAACTCACTTAATCCTCATTTACAATTCTTTGAGACAGGTATGATCATTATCCCTATTTTCTGTACAAAGAAACTGAGGCATGGATGGGTTAAATAAATTATGCCCATAATTACATAGCAAGTAAGTGGCAGAATAAGTCAAATGAGACATCGCTGATTCAAGCAGCTTACAGTCATAGAAAAAAAAAGATAAAACGACAACTACTTACAGTACAGGGCTATACAAAATGTATCGGGTGTTACAGAAGAATGGTTTAGTAACTGGATCACTCTGCTTTCCCCCAACTAACACTTTCCTTCTGGCTTCACTTTGTTTTCCAAAATAGACCTCAAGCTCCAACACTTCCATTTTTACTATGATCATCATTCCTTTTTTACCTTTGACCTTTCATCAAACCTTCCTGGAAAACTACAAACACAGGGCTGTGGGGGAAACAAGATACAGTACACAGAAAGAGATGGGTTTACATGCTAAGCACAAAGAACTCGTAAAAGGGAAGACTAACATACAGCCAAGGAAGGGAATAATGAAGCAAGACACGTCAGAAGACAGGAGAAGACAGAATTCAAAGAACAGGCAAAGAAAGGACTGATGCAGATGGAAAAAAAAAATTGTGAGGTAAGAGGAAGTTGAAAGAGTTCTTGCCTCGTAGTCTCAAATACTTCTAGTAGATGACATTGCATTTTATTTTACTGGAGTAGGAGGGTGGCTAAAGAATTAAGAGGACACAGAGCTGCCAGAGAATACTGAAGACCTATCTGAGATTGGAAATGTGAATTTTTAAGGGATATAATCCAAAGATATGACTTTCTTCAGCTATGTTCAGTAGCCACATTATGGGAAAGAAGTCAAGTTTTAGGAATGATCCAAGTTTTAGTTTTGTTGGGCAGGTGTGATAGAAGAAAAGGGAGTATGAAAGAAAACAGTGATGGGCAAGAGAGAAAAGGAAATTTTAGAAAGGGAATGATGCCAGAGGACAGTTGACAAAATTAGAGGCATTCATGTCTTAAAAAAAAGGATAGATATTAGACTTAAGATTTCAAATCCAGAGCAATCTTATAGTACATGGTTACATGAATGATGCTAAAGCAGAGTAGAAAGCATTGTGGACTAAATCGTTGAATTTTTTTTAACCATGGAATATTTATAGTGGCTACAGATACACAACTGACACCACCTACCTTGACGGAGTTTACACTCACAGTGTGAAGCTTCCACTCCCCACCCCCATACAATTAGTTCAAAATAAGCCTATTCACACTTACCTTCAGTTTCTTATATCCCTACACACCCAAACGTACATACAGAGAACTTCCACCCTCAAGGTTTCTGACAAAAATAGATTAAAATGGTTTCCCCCTCATGTAAAGAAATTCAACATTTAATACTGACCTGACTTTCTGGCTGTGGTGGTGGGAATGGTGTATACTCCTTCTTAACAGTTTTCTTCTTTGGTTCCTTGCGTTTATTCACATTTTTGTGCTTGAACTGTGGCAAAAATCTTTCCCAACTCTGTGATCTTAACTCAGAATCTTTCGCCAACTCTCGTTTAATCATTAAAGTCTTCAACCATGGCAATATATGAACAAAGTAAACTTTTAATTTAATTTTTTTAAAAGATTTTTTTTTATGTGGACCATTTTTAAAGTCTTTATTGAATTTGTTACAATATTGCTTCTGTTTTATGCTTTTTGGTTTTTTGGCCGCGAGGCATGTGAGATCTTAGCTCCCCGACCAGGGATCGAACCTGCACCCCCTGCATTGGAAGGCGAAGTCTTAACCACTGGACTGCCAGGGAAGTCCCAAACATTTTTAATTTTAGCAGTCATATGTTTCACAACCTAAGACATTATCAACATTGTTCCTATAAATAATAAAATTAAAAGGAACAATTCTTAGTCTCTTCAGTAGAATTAAACCAATTCCAGAAAGAAAAAATATATAATATCAAACATGCATAATTAACCAAGCATCAGAAAACCATTAGAAATTTAGACAGAACTGTTAAAATAAACTGAGATGAAAATAAGACTAACTCCGTTTTTCAACCATTATTTCATTAAAACCTTTAAAATTCAACCTAACAATAGCAGGGAGAGTTCTTAATTAGTGATGTTTCCTACAAGCAGGAAGCTTTTAGTAGCACCCTGAAATATCACAGGGAAAGAAAAAAAGTTTCTCGTGATCAACAAAACGAATGTTTTCACACTTCCCCTACTCCATCTGAATTTTATAGACACTGAAACATCAGAGGATGCAAACTAGGCATCAGATGCAAGATGAGCTCTCTTTATCTTTAATGTCCCAATGTAACTCAAAATCGTTTTTGCACCCTAATCTAAGAGTGACTTTTCAACTTAACTTCATTAAATTCAAGGATTGTTTAACAAATATCCATCATAAAACAACTCATTATACCATGGTTACATTTCCAAGGACAATCAAGAACTTTATGCATACAGGGATATAACAGATCTCTCTCGAAGAGCCTATAATTTGAGTGTTAAATTCCAAAATAGGTTTTAATGCAATCTCAAATATTCCAGACTTGACTTACAGAAAAAGGCAGAATTCAGGACTTCCCTGGTGGTCCAGTGGTAAAGAATCCACCTTCCAATGCAGGGGACACGGGTTCGATCCCTGGTCCGGGAAGATCCCATATGCCACTGGGCAACTGAGCCCGGGTGCCTCAACTAGAGAGCCCACGCGCCCTGGAGCTGGCGTGCCACCAGATAGAAAACCCGCACACCACAACCATAGAGAAGCCCGTGCGCTGCAACAAAGGATCCTGCGTGCTACAATGAAAGATGCTGTGTGCCGCAACAAAGACCCAACACAGCCAAACAAAAATCTTTTTAAATGAATTAATTTTAAAAAAGAAAAAGGCAGAATTGTAAAAGAGCACACCTTTAAATATAATATGTGGGCTCAAACCCTAAGAAAACTGGATTGGTACCATCTACTACAAATCCTATGAAGCTTATTTTATTTGTATTGGAAGTTAATCACTACATTACACTGTCCCCTTCAATAGCTTTCAAACTGTACTCCAAAGAGACCTAAACTTTCAAAGAAGTTAACTATAGGACTGGGATAGAGTTGAGTGGGCTGAACTCTACCCCAATTTACGCAAAATAGCTCTGCTTTATCTGTTTTGTATATTAGGCTTTCATAAAAGATTTACTTTCAAGAAAGGTTTCTGTAGCTAAAAACAATTTGATAACCACTTTGTAGTAGTATACAGTGAACACTCACTTTAATGTTATAAATTGGATGAATATTCTTCATAGTGTCTAGGACTACTTTTCGAACCTGAAATTTGCAAAGAAAAATGAATCAGTCATGTATAAAGATTTTAGTGAACTAGGTAGACGAGGATTAATATATCACAAAATAGCCTATGAACCAGGTAATGGCTACCAAATTGTATACTGTAGTCCCTTCAACTGTTCTGAGTGGCTTCTAGATCTTTCATAATAGTCAACCTCCCTTGGATACAATGAAGTCTCTGAACTTTACTGATAAAAAGCTATACACAGAATTAACACAACACTCTGGAGCTGTAAAATTTAGGGGGAAGAGGGCTGGATTTAGAGTTAGAATATATGCACTCAAATAGTGGGACTGCCACTTCATTCAACAAAGGCACTTAATTTTCCTATTCCAGCTTTTTCATTTGTAATATGGAAATAAAACTATCTTAAGGATCTGTCATAAGAATTAAATGATATACTTAGACTCTACAAAACTGTGAAATATTCAAAATATTTAAGTTATTATTGCCCCATGAGAAAAAAGCAGATAACTTATGAGAAAGAGGTCCAATAGAATTAAGGTTAAAGGGCCTGGAAAGCAAGTAAGACCTCACTGCCAGATACAGATAACAAAAGCCTCAAAAGGAGTTAACAGAAACAGTATCTGCTCCAAAGATTTTCTCATAACATCTGACAAGCTAAAGAAGATGTTCATAAAAACATTAACATTCGAAGAAAATATATCTTAAAGGAAGTTTTCTGAGCCTGACCTCTACTGGCTGAATACATTACTGCAAAGAACAAGATCTGTTCAATTCTTCAGTCATTAAATTGCATGTAGGGGCTTCCCTGGTGGCGCAGAGGTTGAGAGAGTCCGCCTGCCGATGCAGGGGACATAGGTTCGTGCCCTGGTCCGGGAAGATCCCACATGCCGCGGAGTGGCTGGGCCCGTGAGCCATGGCCACTGAGCCTGCACGTCCGGAGCCTGTGCTCCGCAACAGGAGAGGACACAACAGTGAGAGGCCCGCATACCACAAAAA